CTTTCTTCTTTTCCTTCTCTACTCTGTTGTCTACTCCTTATTTTCTCTTAGGCGGGATCTACACTGCGAGTCTTATAGCGCAAGAATGGTCATAATGTCCCTTGGTCGTATCTATAGTCGTTCGAGTTGGTTCAATTCCTATTCTAACAATTACTACAATATGTCGCTACGATGAAATCAATTCGAACGACTACAATGAACGTTACAGCCGTTCTTGTGACTATAATACTCGCATTGTAGACCCCGCCTTATTCTCTCTACGTCTATGTTTATATGACGACATTAATCTAGTTTAATGACAACCATAGTTAGTGATTTCTAGCATTTAATTAGAACACATTTTTAGACTTAAAAGAATGTACCGCATGATTTTACTAACTACGATTATTACTAAATCAAAGAAGTAGTATACAAGATGATTCAGACCAACGTTTGTCCTTAAAATATCATATTCCTGAGTCGATTCTAAGACGATTTTTCCTCTATCATATTTTTATCAGAAGCTTAGTTTTTGAATTATAAAGGAAAACAATTCGCAAATTACGAGTCGCGTACAGAAAACAGACAGGAACGATGCAATTTACCGTCCAACGCAGATGCGTGCGTGCGCGCGCATGCGTGCATGTATGTGTGTAAGATGTGCATGCGCTATTGCATGTATTAATACTTGTGTAACGATCAGCTAATCGCTCCTGCCTGTCTTCTGTACACGGCTCATAATTCGAATTGTTTTCCCTTATAATTCAAAAAACTAAGCTTCTGATAAAAACTTGGTAGAGGAAAAATTGTCTTAGAATCGAAGAATATATCTCAGAAATATGACATTTTAAGGACAAACGGTTGTTTTGTATAACGGTATGTTCCTGCCGGTCGGTACGCGGATCATGCAGACATGCTCACTGGAAATCATGATTTGGATATCAAATAATTATAGATACTTTGCGTATGGGATTACTTATGATTTATATTCTAATTACATCTATTTATAAGAGGTTTATTGTTGAGCGGATATAATTTGAAAACTACGGCGAGTGGTTATGATGCGCGAGATTTGTTGCGGCAAACGATAGGTTTGCGAAACACAAGGATCGTCAGGCGTATATGGTGATTGGTTTACTGAATACATTTGGACCTGCGTGTCGAGTGATACCTAAGCGGATGAGCTTTGCGCAGTTTATCGATCGAGAATACTCAGCCAGCGAATATTAAATATTTCTGGCGAAAATGGAGAATGCTTATTTTCGGATATTCTGGACAACAGGAAGCAAGAGTCTTGCTAGTATACTTGACAGAAATCGAGAATACTCGGTTTTTCGCTAGTAACGGAAAGAGCAAGTGCCAAGAATACTTGACGGAGATCGAAAATACTCGGTATGCTTGTCCGGAAAGTCGGAAACAGTATCAGATCAGCTAATCGAACAGGACTCGTTTTATTGCCAAAATCGGCTGGTTTATATATCGGCACGATACTGTTAATATATTTTTCGACCTACCACGAGTCATCAGCGGTGATTCGGCGCGCGGGGTATATGGCGAGCGTGATGTTTGGCACTGTTCGGATCCGATTGAGACTTAGCCTGATGATAATGATATGAGGGATGTATCATTACATCCCTCTAAACTCTCTTAAACAGTTTTCCTCTTCTTCCTCCTCTTTAAAACCCTTTCTCGCCATTTTCTGTCAAGTCCTTTCCTTCTATTCTTTCCTCTCATACATTTTTTGCATATATTCCTATGTTTCCTTCTTTCTCTCATATATTTTACATTTTCTTTTAGCTTCATTCTCTTAATATAACTCCTCTTTCATTTCATTTTCTAGTTTGAACCTGATTATTTTTCTTTATTTTTTTCTGTCTGCTCCTTTTTAAAATATTTTGGCACCTCTTCTTTTTTAATTTCTTTATTCCATTTGTTATATTTTAATTCCTTTTTGTAGTGATACGTTCCTGCCGGCGATTTCGGATCGCAAGAATAGGATATGGAGAGCTTGGATATATTCGGATGTACTCGAATGCCGGGGTTCGGATATCGAAAGAATTGTGTGTCAAATTTAAGATTTTAAGAGATATATTCTTATTTATAATTACAAGATGTCGGTTCTGTAAAATAATGATCTTTAGTTTTACTTTCGTAATAAGATTCTGTTCTTATAGCAAAATCAAGTAAATATCATTAAATACAAGTAAATGTTGTCTCGATGGAAGTAAAATCTCTTATAGATAGAGTCGCGGTAGCTTGAACGTAAGCGTGTCGACGGGATGAAATGCGAACGTGATATAGTGCGTTCCTAAGCAACTAACAAAGGACCTGTCGCAACTGTCCGGAACCGATTTGATTCTCCTTGAAATATGTTATTAAATACAGAAACACGTATTTTTTTATATGTGTCCAATCGGAATTTTAAAGGGTGAAACAATCTCTCAAAGGCTAACTTATATTTTTGATTTCCATCAATTATCAATGAAACGGTGAGATACATAAAAAAATGTTTTAGACAAAATTTCTATTATTTCTTTTTATTATGTACTTTATAACTGTGTATTTAGCTTTTTTAAAAATTTAATATTTTTGAAAGTACCCCTACTCCCCATTATTTTTACGTAATTTACATTTCTAAGAATAAAAATTGAAGGTACTTTTATGCCAAATTCAACCGTATATAATAAAAATTATTTTATAAAATCACATTTTTTGCGAAATAACCTGAAAACGTCGCTATATGCATCGTTTGTGCTTTTATGTAGTGCTTGCATGGCAAAATTGTGTTTCTGCTTCATGTATTACAAATAATAATAACAATAATAATAATTTTCATTGTTTTTCTTTAATTATACATATAAAAACATTTACTTCTTTTATTCATTCTTCATATATTTTATTATTACTTTACAGTACCTTGTTTGAAATTATTTTTATTTGCTTACAAATGCTTTTGCTTTTCTACATTATGTATTACACGTAATAATAGTGATAATAATTTTTATTCGTTTTATTTAATTACATATATAACATATAATGTAATTACATATACAAAAACATCCATTTCTTCATTTATTTCTCATATGTTATATTGCTATGGTATCTTAAGATTAAAATTATTTTTGTTTGCTTACGCTTTTATTTTTTTACATTTTATTTCTTTATCTTAGACATTAATTTCTAATATATTAACTTAATAACATAGTCATTTGTTCATATATAATAAAATTCATATATTATTATTATTATATATTTATGTCATTCATTAGATATAGATATTACATTATAGATATTACAATAATGATATTTCACAAAAAAATGCTTTAATGATCTTTTTACACCAAGAACATCTTACTATAAGCTATATTGCAATTCGATGT